TTTTTTTTTTTTTTTTTTATCTTTTTGAGGATTTAACCAGAATCGTTGTAACACAGGATACGTGATTTGAAGACTTTTATGTTTTTTATGCAGATAATCGATAGCACAATAATGAAATCAATTTTTAGTAATCAGCCCTGTTACCAACAATATTTGAATTTGAAACAAATTACCCAACTTTTCATGTCTTCTTTTGTAAATATACTAATTTTGAAATATAATTTAGTTTGAGTATGAGTGAGCCAAATTTTTAGCCTTTTTTTTATTTTAAACTTTTTGAGGACTTATCCAAAATCATTGTAACACAGGATACGTAATTTAAAGACTTTTATGTTTTTTATGCGGATAATCGATAGAGCAATAATGAAATCGATTTTTAGTAATTAGCCCTGTTACCGACAATATTTGAATTTGAAACAGATTACCCAGCTTTTTATGTCTTGTTTTGTAAATATACTAACTTTCAAATATAATTTAATGAATTTCACCCAATTCTTTTCATTTATACAACGAGCGATTCTGTATATTATTGACCTGCAGTCACTAACAACAGTCTCCGTACCAAGATTCAATAGATGAGCTACCTTCAAGTTCTGTTGGCTGTCATTAACCCCTGTCAAACGCGCTTCTTACGACCAAATGTCGTCACAAGAGCTCTATCGCTTTTTCACACACGGAGAAAATACATAGTTTTTGATGTAAAAAAATTTACCTGAGTTGAAAGTGTGGCAAAGTCCCATCGATGTTAACACGGACGTGAAATTCCTGTGGCCACAAGTCGGTTTTCCGTTCCAAATGCAGTGAAATACGGTATCAGTGATTTGGTGTCCTGCATCGATGTAAAACTGTGTGAGGTTAAAGTCATTATATTTGTTCAAGTCAATGCTATCATTGAAACTGAGAGGTAAGCCCATTTTTTCACTAATGGAGACAAATAGATGGGGTACAATTTCTTCATACGCCTTCGCTTTAACCACGGAATGTTTGAACATGTTGGAGTTGCAGATAGTCACCGCTGGAAAATTCTGCATAGGTTCGTATCTTAAACTGACTTTTGTCGTCACTTTGTAGCTGTAATACTTCTCGACCAACTTGAAGGACTGAAATGAAAACCACATCATTGCGAGCAAAAGAAGCCCAGCCCAAAGAAAGCGACGCGCGCTGGTTGAGCGGGAGAACACGTAATGCAAGCCATGAAGGGTGGTTGATTCGACATATGTTTTCCAAGTTTTCTCTATTGCCTCTTTCTGACTTGAGCCTCGAGCTGCCCGATCGTCTGAAATGGGGTTAACTTCATATGACTTGCCTCGCTTCGGATATTCTGTACCCCCTAATTCTGCTTTGGTTAGTCCAGGATCCATAGTGGATACTTGTGATCCTTTTAAAAAATTGCTTTCGTGCAAGCATGGGATAAGTTTGAAAAAGTGCCAGCTTAAATAATACCATGATCAATTCGAATAATCATTGGGCATCATTTGTTTGCCGTTTGGCTCTATAAGTTGAAATCATAAAATTTGAGGTAGAAAATGTAATGTGTTGTTTAAACTTCTATGTTTTTTTTTTTTGCTTTTACTAGTTATCAGAGTAAAAGAATTGATGCAAAAAAAACGTTTTTCATGTGTATCGATCATATAGTTTTCCCTTGAAAACGTATCATTTTGCATTTGCTGTTTCCTAAGTGAAGTCATTGATGAAAGAAAAATTGAACTCTAACCACCATGAACAGGTGACAAAATAGAAAATGAATAAATATTATTCCCTTGTAGGAATTATATAAAAATATTGAATTTAAGAATACAAACTCCTTGATAGAAATATACCCGTGCTTCTAGTTTGTGTGTGAAGAGGGGGGGAGGTGGAGGAGATCAAATAGCTTTTAGGGGGAGTGGAGGGGAAGTCAGTCATCACCAACAGATTATAAAGGGAGACTGTATCAGTGGCGGATCCAGACCTTGAGATAAGTGGGGGGGGGGAGGGGGAGAAAGGCGGTTTTGTTGTGTGTGTACACTTGTCCGCTTTTCCACCTTCTGCATTAATTTTTTTAACCCAAAATAAGGGGGGGGCGGTAGGCCTCCTGGGTCCCTCCCCTAGATCCACCACTGTTTGATATCATGAAACTATTAGGATACTAGAAAGCCTAGGGGACGTCAAGTAAATTTGATTGTGACAGAACAAAAATCTTCCGGACCCCCACCCCCGGCGATAAATAAAGATGAGTCCTCTGGTTTCATTTGCTTTCCTCACCTGCTACCCGTACGCTTCTTTGTCATATATTCTCACCATAAATTCGCTTTCTGGAGGGTTAATTGAAATATCACATTAACTTAGCTTGTGTTGATCAAAGCGGAAGATTCTGCTCGCACGTTAACAGCCCCCGCTCTTTTCCCATAAGTTCCGTTTTTCGATATATCAGAGAAGTAGTTTGATCGATATAAATGTAATTAATATCATTTTCCTTTGATTACTGCCTCCCTAAAATGAGTTCATTTCGGTAGAAGCTTTCAAAATGTTAATGAGAAGGATATTTGACATCGCAAGTGCCAAAAAAAAAAAAACATCGTATCAGCGGTGCGGCGGAAAAACGAGACAACGGGAAAGCTCCCGTGGAGGACGAAGCTGTTTTTTTTTTCCAAACGAGTCCGATAAAATAATTTTTGTCCCTTGACTAGAGTAGAATTCATATTAATTTTAAAAGTGGCAGATGAAGGTGTCATAACTTAACCCTAACCTCAGCATATTCATTTTAAGCCTTTTTTTTATTAACCCTTTCAGTCTATTTACCCCCTTTCAGTGGTTTCAAAAACTTATAATTAATATTCAGAACATTCATTTCAAGCTTTTTCATTATCCTTTAAATCTCAGTTACGAACGCAGTCCTCGGTGACCAGTTCGTGTTCCTTAGAACGGTTATGTGTAGTGCAACTTCGAAAAATCCATCGACGATTTCCCTAATTTCGCTTTTTAGCTTCATTAAAATCATTCTTTAATCTCATTTGAACCTCTACGGAAGTAAACAACAAAGCAATAAATAGAATCCGACTCGGATGAACAGTTACCAATTGAAAGAAACGTTGTTCTGATAAGGGGCTCACGCTTTAACGTTCAGGTGGCTCAGTTCTCTATCTAACTCTATCGACTTCTCGTTGTAGACCAACCTGCCCTACAAGAGCGAAGATCCAGAGTCCATAATCTTCTGTCCAGTCGAGCCATATTTGGGTAGCTGTGGTAAATAAACGATGGTGTTTACGAGGAGAGCAATCCGGCGACAATTTAATCCGAAATGTATTATAAAAGCGCTGGTGATATTTACGATAAGTACCTTCTCCATGGGTTTTTTTCTTCATGGGCGGATGGGACGACCAGAAGTGAAAGAAATAATCGACGAATATCCTCTTGGAATCGGTGAGTGAGACAAAGTTTGAAACCGAGACCTAAATGAATGGTAAAACGCCTATCTGATCACAGTGTAAAGATGCAGCGGGTTCTTTAAGAGATCCTTTATGCGCCATGATTGAGCTAATTTAATTTAATTTAATAATAAGTTCTTATATAGAGCATTAAAATTGAACTCTATGCGCTTTACAATTACAAATTAACAAAATTTCAATAAAAATTCTATACATTCAATTCGCTACTCTATCTAAACTAATGAATTATTACGTGTTATATATATATTTGACAACGTACGATATCAAAAAAAATCTGGTGGCTTAATTTTTGAAAAGATAAGTTTTCAATAAGCGTTTAAAGGAGTCAACAGATTCGGCGTTTTTTATGCATTCAGGTAGTTGATTCCACAAATACGGTGCAGTGTAGGAGAATGCTCTTTGCCCATACGTTTTAGTTCGAATTGTTGGGACCTCAAGTAGATTCATGTTTGATGAACGGAGGTTTCGTGCTGGAATATATCGACTAAGAAGTTCAACAAGATAGGTTGGAGCCATGTCATTTAGTGCTTTGTATGTCATCAACAGTATCTTTAATTGAATTCGTTTTGTGACCGGGAGCCAATGAAGTTTTTTCATAGGTATAGGTGTTATACTGTCTCTTGATTTAGCACCGACTAACAAGCGGGCAGCTGTGTTTTGGATCCGTTGGAATTTTACGATGTCACAAGTCGGTAGACCGTACAATAGGCTATTACAGTAATCAAGTCTCGATGTCTCTAGATAACAAACTGGTCTTGAGGAAATTTTGGTAAGCCATCATTTCGACCAAATAGTTTTTTCCGGTCTTTCTATCTCTCTACAAAACAACAATAGATCTCTGTTATTCTTAGGTGTGCTCATAAAACGAAGGCAGGGATATTATCAACAATATATCAAGCCTGCCGTGATTTGAGTGATTGTCAGTACATTGTGAAGTATCGCTGAGTATTTGCACAAGTTGTGCCGCATTTTGACGAGTCCGTAGAGTCAAAATACGAGTTATTTCAGTGCGGGCGAATTTCGCGGATATTTCTGGAATACAAATACTGCGAGATATTTGTACTCGTTGCGCGCGTTATTTGTACTTTACGAAGAACAGTTGGATAATAATATCACCTCAGTAGACGAGTACAAATAACGCCATAGACGATTATGGAACGCCATAATTATAACTGTCTTATGATAATTTTGGTCATGATATTCGGCGCTTACATCCTTATATTGGGTGCGTACTCCGTTATATTCGGTGCTTACTTTATTATATTCGGTGTTTACTTTCTTATATTCGGTGCTTAAATCATTATATTCGGTGTTTACTTCATTATATTCGGTGCTTACTCCGTTATATTCGGTGCTTACTTTATTATATTCGATACATACTTCGTTATATTCGGTGCTCATTTTATTATACTGGGTGGCTTATTCGTTCAGTGTTCGCTTCATTATATTCGGTGTTCACTTCATTATATTCAGTGTGCACTTCATTATATTCGGTGGCTATTTCATTTTACTGGGTGATTAAATCATCCAGTTCGGTGCTTCCGACAACTGGTGAGCACTTCATTATCTTCGGTCCTACCAACATTATACGCGGTGGTAAAATCATTATCTTCGGTGCAAACTTCATTATGATCGTCACCAGGCTCCCAAAAACATTGTTCGCGGTACTAACCCCACAATGCAATTCTGCGATTTCCCGCGTATTTTCAAAGTATTATGAAACTGGTGGAAAAGACTGCAGTGGCCTCCATTCTGAAGCGACAAAACTTAAGTAATCTAACAGAAGTATTTGAAAAGGAGAAAATCACACCTGATGTAGTTTCTCTGTTATCGGCAAGCGAAATGAAGCAGCTGGGTGTAAGTAAGAGTTCTGACATGATGAGTTTGCGAATGCAATGTTCAATCCACGGAAAACGGAAGCCTCAAAGAAATCGTTTAGGATCTGGAGCTCCAGAATTCAACATACCAAAATCAATACTAGAGAATCATCTAGAGGAGGGTTTCAAGATAAAAGAAATCGCCAGTATGTTTTCTGTCGCGGAGAGCACAATTTATCGCAGAATGCAAAACTACGGAATCAGCTCTCAGGATTTCAGTGATGTTTCAGATGAAGAGCTCGATCACCACATATCCTTTGTTTGCACGTGACGTCGGCATAAATTAAAAAACCGGTTTCAGCCATGTTGGGGGATAACCACGCGCAACAATCCGTGTAACATAGCTGTCTGAAGTGTATGTTGAAGGTGTTACGGATATACTTGTCGATGTCATGCATTCTAAATAGCTGCCAATACTTGTAATTAGGTCTGCCAATGTAGACTATTTTAAGACTTGTGCTGTAGTTTGGATTGTAATATATTTTGTGTGAACGGTAAATTTTTTCAATTTTGTTGGATACTACAACACCACGTGCTTTACGGAAGCCGGTATGATCGTTTTACAGTTTTAGTTCATGCCACAACTCTGTGTTGTGTTTGGTTGTTTTGAATTTGGTTGTGTTACATGTATAAACAAGCAAGCAATTGAAAAGTAATTATTGTTTAAGCTTTCAAGGCTGTATGTTTCTTTTGTATTAATAATTTTCGCATCTTAGCGCATGCGCAAATGGTTTAGTTTGAGATTCAGCTTATTATTGATACTTGTGGGATTGATGCTGTATTTTCTAAATATTGATAATAACAACACAAACTGGGGGATAACCATGCACATACTTTGCGGAAGCCGGTATAGTTTCGTTGGCAAAGGCAAAACCAGGCGAGTCTCTGGCTCCTATTGACATTAAGCTGCCATAGCGTGCTATGCAGTCACCAATTTAAGAGTCCATTATACCATTTGATCGAGGTGGACTTACAACCAGTTTGATTCCATGTTGCCCTCATTGCTCACATCGCTGAAAAACTCCAACTCCTCCTCAATCAGTTTTCGGACGCATGTGAGGCCTTCAGACTTACAATCAGCCTAAAGAAGACGAAAGTCATGTGCCAGGACAATGCAGCCACACCCGCCGTAACGATCAAAGATTACACCTTGGAAGCCGTCACACAGTTTACCTATCTCGGCTCCACCACCTCAAACAACAACTGCCTTGAAGTGGAGATTGGAAAGAGAATTGGCAAGCCTGCAACCAACATGGCTAAGCTGTCTGCCCGTGTCTGGGAGAACAAGAAGCTAACGAACCAAACTAAAGTTGCTGTGTATCGTGCCTGCATCGTGAGCCCCTTATTGTTTGGTAGCGAGTCTTGGACTACCTACGCTAGTCAGGAGAAGCGCTTAAACATCTTCCATATGAGATGTCTTCGTCGCATCCTCTCCATCTCATGGACAGATAAGGTCTCTAACAATAAGGTACTTGCAAGAGCCAATATCCCCTCGATGTTCACCCTGATAAGACAGCGCAGATTGAGGTGGCTTGGTCATGTGTACCGGATGGAGGATGGGCGAATCCCTAAGGATTTGCTGTATGGCGAGTTGGAATCCGGTTGGAGGCCTATTGTCAGACCTAAGCTGCGTTTCAAGGACGTATGCAAGAGAGATATGCTCGCCACTGACCTGCCAACAGATAACTGGGAGCTACATGCCGCCGATCGGAGTGATTGGAGGTCTGTGTGCAGTCTGGCACTCCAGGCGGGAGAGGAAAGGCAGAAAGCTGAAGCCGATGATAGAAGAGCTAAGAGAAAAGCAGCAATGAACAACGCAACGTGTGTTCCAGTGGCATGTGTCTTCGTGTGCAGTGGATGCGGTCGTGTCTGCCGTTCTAGAATTGGGCTTTTTAGCCACGAGAGAAAGTGTTTGTCGCAATTGCGCTAGTCATGGACGTGGTCCGATGACTGCCTACTACTACTACTATATGACAAACAACCATAAAGTTCAGTTAGCATTTTGACAAAGAAAGGAGCACCCCCAAAGTAATATTTTGGTGATTGTGGTACAATTGAATAACCTTGACATTTCAATCATGATTGCTCAGTTAATTTTTTCAATTAAAAGTTGGATAAATCCAGTCTCCTAAAGGCTCTTCTTTCAACTTCAAACATGACATATGATTCCATTTATCTTGAACAAATCATTGTCACAACCAATTAATGTGCTGTCCTCCAAATCTTGTTGACAATAGCACCACAGCGCTTCCTCTTCTTCATCACCAGATGATGTTGATGAAGATGGAATGGTTAGAGCTTCACACCCTGGGCATGTATATTACTTCCCTACAATTTTAGGCAAAATGCACTTGCTGAAGAAATCAGAGGAAACAGAGACTGCATCTTCCCAAAACTCTTGGTCAGGAAGAATTTCTGCACAAAGAGATCCATTGTTGTTCACACCACAAAATCACAATATTCAACCTCACAGATAAAGATCTGGGCCTGAACTTGGTAGTAGGCATGACATTTGTAAAGATGAACTTTACTAAACTCATCTTTCTTTAAACAAAAGTTGTTTTGGCCAGCAGCCTCAGTGATTGTGGAATCCTTGTGCGCATATAGACATTTTGTTTCACACACACCCATCCCACAGCATTTGCAGTTAATAATCTCATCAGGAGAAGCTCCTAAGTATGGCCACCTTGGATCAATATTGAGAGCATTGTCAGAAATTGTCAAAGACTCATGGAATTGATTCATATCTATCTGGTAAGCTTTGCGAGTCCTACCCTCATTTTCACAACCCCACCATGTGACGATCATAACGAAGTTTGCACCGAAGATAATGATTTTACTACCGCGTACAATGTTGGTAGGACCGAAGATGATGAAGTGCTCACCAGCTGTCGGAAGCACCGAACTGGATGATTTAATCACCGAGTATATAATGAAATAACCACCGAATATAATGAAGTGCACACCGAATATAATGAAGTGAACACCGAATATAATGATGTGCACACCGAATATAATGATGTGCACACCGAATATAATGATCA